CCACTTCTCGTTGCAAATGCCAGAGAGCGGTACTCAAGTACTCCATGCCCTGCAGGCGGTGGGGTTCGTGTCGATGCGCTTCCGTGAAGTACTTGACCGCCTCCTCGTAACGGGACTTCTCGAAGTACGCGCGCCCGAGCGCTGTCAACACCCAACCAGTGTTCAAGTGATTCATCGGCAGTGACTCGAGCGCGTCGATAGCCTCGCGGCACTCAAACTGTCCCAAGTGTTGCAACGCTGTGCCCAACTGTACCATCAGATCCAACAGGCCTTTAGCCGAATATTTTTGCATTTTAATGCCCGTCTGCATCAAGTCATAGCCCGACACCACTCCCTTCTGGAGCTCCGATTTGTTCATTTCATTCAATTCGCTTTCTTTCTGTTGATTCGTCGAACTGTTGGTCAGAGACGTGATATTCGTCGAAGAATTGGTTCGTTTGGTACGTTTGATGGGAGTTCGCGGACGAGTGATCAGTTTGGGCGGCGCTTTGTTGGCGGTGTTCTCTTTGACAGAGCTCTGCGATGAGCTGAACAGTCGCGACGAACGGCGCAACGATTGCGACTGAATGGGCGAACCCGACAGCGAGACCGACGAAACTGTGGTCTCCGATGACTGTTGATTATTAGAGAGCTGTAACTTAAACGCATTGCTTCGCGTCGACTGAGTGCCAATCGGCGGAGCGATCGGTTGCGGCGGTTGTATCTGCTGTTGACTGCGTCTGGTGTGGGGTTTCTTGGCCTGGATTTCGTCGGAATGTGTCTTCGGACTGATGTCCGACTCTGCGGTCGACTTAATCGTTAGAGTGGAGGCGTCTGTCAGCGGAAAGACACCAAAACAATGGCGCGAAATGGGAGTCATCTGAGAGTTAAGTAGATTTTTGGTGAATACGTTCTCATTCTTTAGATTTGTGGTCGACTTTCGGGTGACTTTGTTGTGGACGTTGAGCTTCTGTGGGGCCACACATGTTGTGGTCACCCATTGATTATTTTCGGGTGTTATCACATCAATGGTTCCCATTTCGTTGGCAGACCTGATGACAGCGAACGGCGACGTAATCTCACATTTAGTGGCTGTTGTTGTGGTAATGTTCTGAAGATGACTAGTATTGCAATTGGTTTCAGACACTCGACAATTACTATTAGATATAAGACTCGCGTTGGAGTTGGCATTCAATAGATTCACTAATGGATTAGAGCCCAGACATTGGCTGAATTCCACATTCAATATATTAAATATCTCATTGGGATTCACTTTAACGCCCAATTGGATCAGATTCTCGTACGACGACCAGAGGAATGGATTCGCTTTCAGACTCTCGCGGTAGTAATGCATTGAGTTCTCGTGTCTCTCAATTTTGCCGCAAATCTGAGCCATCAATTGGGCGGCGAATGAGGCCGAGTCGCCGAACTCTTTGCGCAACTCTTCTACAGTGAATGTACTGCTCGTACACCGATCTGACCTCAGGTTCCCGACCAACGCCTCTTCGGCTTCGTTATACTTCTTAAGGTCGAGACAACATCGGGCTAACAGTAGCTGACAGTCAGCCGTACGGCAGTCACAACCCGTGAGTATAGAGTAGGCGGCGTTCGCTTTGCCCGACCGGTAGTAACACGTGGCCAACAGATACAGGGAGTCGTCGGTCGATACTAAACACACAAAAAGACATTACAAAGCGGTCACTCGTGAGCGGCCGTCGCGTCCATACCCTCGGCGTAGAGCCGTTCGGCCAGAAATATGGCGTCGCTGTAGGCGTAGTGCTTGAGTGCGAAAGAGATGGTCGCCTATAATGGGATCAAACAATTAAGACAATGACAGACAGTGTGTACGCAATCAATGGCGTCATAGAGTCATCACTCACTTGAACCGGTTCTGTGACTAACATCTTGGCGTACGTCTGGTGTGGGCGGCGGTCGACGGCTTGTGTCCGCACAATCGGTCACAAACTGGGATCCAATTCAATGGCCAAACAAAAGGGTCGACACAATAGTGGATGCGATGGCGTCAAGAGTATCACTGATGCGATCGGTTGTGACTCCGATCCGAGCGAAACGATTGGTCCGAACACGGGATCCGATGCGGCGACCGATCTGTTCAACGATTTGATGGCCAAATGAAGAGACAAAACGTGAATACGATTACAACCAGTGGTGAAGCAAATCGTGATTACATTTACATTACAAATGAAATCACAATTTGTTTTGTTTTGCAATAAATTAGTCAACAATTGAGAGCCATATTTGACTTTCTATACAATATATTCGTTCGCATAAACTGTTACAACAATTGGTGTCACAACACAACCCCTATATTCGCCCCCTATTTGTATTAAGCGCTCGTTTTGAGCTAATATATCGCCCACATCTCACCCAACAATGTGCACGTTGTTTGTGAACAACTCTAACGGATTTTATCATTGATAGGCATTCAATGTGAGAGATGTCGCCACCGGTCGGACCACTGAATCCGTGGTAACCGTTCATTAAATTCTTCAGCAATGAATCAGTTGTGACATTGATTTCAGCACTCAATACATTTGAAACCAATTGTCGTGCGTTTGTCTTAAGTAAAAAAATCTCGCCTTTTTGACGCCGAGCGGCCAGTTATGCCCCGCAAGTCATACCATGTGTCGGACCCGAGCCTATGCTCTCACCGACGGGTGTCGTTCACGTCGGCCAACTCGTGGGCCAACAATGTGACCATCAATGGCCAACTGTCCACACCGTTGTCGCTGTGGCAGTGCGTGGCTGTGGGCTGTCCGCCGCCCCCATTGGCCATTCACGAGCGGGTCGTGTGGCCGTCCGACTCGGGCCCCGAGTTTGGTTGCGTTAAATGGTTGGGAAAGTTACCCGATTTGGGCCCCGAATGGATGGCAGGCGTGGACTTTGTGAACCCGATCGGCGCGGGAACCGGTCTCTACAATGAGTACCAACTGTTTTACGCGCCCCTAAACCACGCGTCGTTGGTTCCCGTCTGCGGACTCATCAAAGTTGATGACTATATGTCTAAAAATAATCCATTCAATGGCGATGTCTTCCAGGATAACAGTCCTGTCGCTCAACGGTTCCGATTCAAGAAGAGATAAAAACAATTTATTTGATTTAAAAAAACAATATTATTTAAAAGAAATAATTTACAAAACTTTGTATCACTTTATAGATAATGCCATACATTATGTAGTATTTATCGCATGTATAATGAATGTGATATAAGTTGTTACTAAACAACACGTTAACGAATGTTAACACAAACTTATAATTATTATATGAGTTATGAATATAATTAAAAATGAACATTTTTTGATTAAAATGAATGAATTAAAAGCCGCTATTTTTCAACTCCATTAGCAATGCCTTCACTCATGAGGTCGTAAACATTTTCTGTGAGAAGTGCCGATAGATTTGGATCTGTCTTAAATTTAGTGGTAAATG